TTGGGAGAGGAGAGGAATGTGAAGTGTTTTGAATGTGAATCACTTTTCTGTCATTAAGCCATTGCTAAGAGCTCAGTAGAGCTTCCCTTCTGCGTTGCTGGGTGGGGTTGGTTTTTGTGCAGCCTTGGTGTAAAGATCTGCCTGATTTCTTCACTGATGTATTATAAAGAGTTACAACTCTTCTCATTGGCTCTGAATTAGGAAGCATTTTTCTCATCTATTTGCCTATTATCTGTTGTAAGAAACAATACTGAAAGCGTTTGAACTGCACTCATGGAATACTCCTTTTTGCCCTCTTCGTTAATGCCTACATATTTGAAGTAAAATAACATTCCTAAAAACAGCTTAAGAATGAAAGAATTCTTTCATTAATCTGTTCAAATACATTATGGCTTTTGCTTTGATGCAGATTGTCTTCAGAATTTGTAGTGAACCCTAGTAATAAAATAGTTCAAAACTTGAATTTTAAATCTTTAAGCAGACATCAACCCTTCCTGATTTTACAGAGCCCAGCTGCTTCCTATGGTCACCCTGAGTCTTTCCAGCTGTTTTGAACCCAAAAACCAAGTCCAATTTCATTTAGTTTGGAATGCAGTAAGCAAAACTGTGTGTCATATCCGTAACCTGTAAAGAGTTCATGGGAGAGTAGCCTTCTTCTTTTTCCTTTCTTATTTCAAGATGGAGTATAGAAGCTGTAGAAGGCTACAGATACCTCTTCTATTACCCCTCTCTTGMTGTGGTCTAGTTTTCATAGAAGGAAGGAAATGCAACTGCAAACGAACCATAAAAGATGAAGCTGAAGGGAAAGGAAGAAGAAAAAGGAAAAAAGAAAAAATAAAGCAAATCCAGAGAGTKAGATAAAGTGAATCTCCATGACAATTGTTGTTTCTGTTTCAGTGAAGGGTGGAAGCAAGGCACAGAAGAMCTGATAAACTGAGTGCTGTTTACTTCAGTGAGCACTGAGAGTGAAGCAGCAAGGTTTCATCAGGTCTTAATGTTTTGGTGCACTCATACCCCTACCAGCTCTTGAAAAGACTCTGTATTTTGTGTTCCCACCAAGCTTCCATTTGACTTTATTTGCAGGTTTTTTTGAATGTGTGCTTTGTGCATGTCAGTCATATGTCCTACTGCTCTCTTGCAGAAAAGCGTTGTCCCATCCTCCAGAAACCAGCAGGTGTGACAGTTCTCCCTCCCAGGTGTGGGCTGGAGCCTGCCGTTTCTGGGACTGTGTGCCAGCTAAGCTGTCCCCAGGGATTCATCTTGTCTGGAGCTAGAGAAGAAATAAGGTGCATTTCATTTGGGAGATGGARTGCAAACATCCAGGAGGCTCTGTGTAAAGGTAGAGACCAGCACAAAATCATGTCTGTGTACACGTGAGTGCAGAATTGAAGGGAAGCACACAGCAAACAGCTGAGTGAGGACAGGTTTGAACTGGGGAAAGCACAACTTAAACAGTTTGTAAGAAGTGTTGCCTGTACCTTTATAGCTTAACTGTCAGATTTGGCYTCATGTGCCATTGAAATTTCAAAGTAGAGGTAAAAGTTCATGTTTTGAAGATAGTTGAAGTGGAGCCCACACTTCTAATAAAGTAACAATGAAAGTTTAGTACAAGTTTATGTAAATCCCATAGTCAGAGGGAAGCTCTAAAGGCTGTGTAAACCCTGGCTGATAGACACACCACAGAGAAATGTTCGTTTTAGTTGTCTTTGAGTGGCTGTGACTATTGACATGCCCCAAGCAACAGCACACCAGAGTTAAGGCCAAAATTGGCTAACACCAAGTGGACTGGCTGGGCACAAGAGGATGACATTCATTTCAGTACAGACCTGCCATGTTTACCCACTCTTTTAGAAGTGTTAGGTTRTTTATTCCCTTACACATGTGCACAATTGAGTAAGAAGGGGTCTGGCTTTGGACTACAGCAGGATAAAAGCAGGAGTTTGTATGGGAWTATGCTCTTCACCTCTTCATGAACTGTAGTGCTCCGAGAATCATTGGTTTCCCCCCAGCCTGGGGCCCTTGCCAGCCACTGGGTAATGGAACAGTACAGAAAACAGTCACGGCAGTCATCATGCCAGGTCACTGCAGAAACTGAGGCTTTTTTCTCTCTCCAGGCCAGGAAGATTTTGTCTCTTYCCTTAAACATATTGTTTCCCATTTTGTGATGTACCACATTGTTTTTCTGAATCTCTTGTATAAACCTGGGCCAAACCACAGTTTTTAATATCTGATGTGATCCCAGCACAAGCTGAAGTGTTCAGATCAAGATAAAACAGCATGGCTTGGGTTCAAGCTTTTAGATATTACCAGTGCATAAACCCCTAACGTAGGAGGCACTGAGAACTCTGAAGCTTATTCTTTTTGAGTAAAAACTAACAGTTGCATTTCAGTTGCTTTCATTCTTGTTATTGTATTTCTCTGTTTTGCTGCCAACATATTTGGCCAGTTCAAAAAAGCCATTTTCTTTCTGACTTATTTATTATTAGCTTTTCTAGAGGATTTCACTTTTAAATGGAATTTGCCCCAGCYTGAAGGCTATGGTCAAGGGAGTGTGAACCATTACTGGTAGTTATTTATATAATAATGTGTTTGTAATAAAATTTTCATTTGTATTGGTTCAAAGGAAGGCAAAATCACATGTATTTATTGCTTCATATTCTTAATTATGTAATTTAATTGCCCAAGTTATGTCTTCACTGGAATTATTTCATAATAAAAATATAAGTGATATCAGTTCTGAGTTGCTTTAAAGCCTCTTGGGCATAGATGAGTTCAGAGCCAAATGTGTCCTTGTCTTATGAATCCAGAGACCATTTATCAAGCAGCACTACAGCAATAAAATAACCTGAACACAAATGTTTTGGGAGGCCCTGTGCCAGTGAAATTAAGAAGTACTTCAAATTTGTCAGAGCAACTTGAGGCTTAAATRTTGATGCTTATGTTACCCATATTGTGCCACCAGTCTTCTGGAACCATCTGGTGTTGTCACGTGTCACAAGAAGACTCTATTTGTCCTACACAATACTTTTTAACAGGAATTTATTGAGGGACATTCCCAGCAACTGCTGCCCAAATTCTTGACATTGTTTCTTTAAGTCAGTTCCACAGCATGCTCCAGAGAATTTGAGAGTCTTTATTGTCTTGTACATAATATAAATATCATGTCATAACTACTTTCAGGTTTTTTTAATTCACTGACTGTCAGAAACAAGTGTTTTCATCTGTATGTGTCCTGTGTCTGGACAGTGAAAGGATAGAGAAGGAAGGGAGAGTAATAAAAGAAACAAATTAATTCTTACTTATTCCTTCGGTTTTGGTTCTGTGTAGCAACTTCTGTGCCCARTGATGTACAAAAATACAGCAAAAATCAGTCCTTTCCCCAGGAGAATTTACTATACATGTGTGAGTCCMTAGGCAGGAGTTCCAAAGGGGCAGAGACAGAAAATTTATGAAGAAACATGCATTTACATTCCAGGCAGTACAAAAAAGAGTGGTTATAGCAAGTTTCAGTCTAACCATTATAGAGGTTTTGCATCTGTAATACCTCATATAAAAATAGTTTATCTTTTTCCGGTTTAGATATTGAAGCACCTCAGATCCACTGCCCAGATGACATTGAGACTGCAACTCTGGAACATCATAACTCTGCTAATATCAGCTGGCAGGTACCCACAGCTGAGGATAAYTCTGGCGATGAGGCAAGTTAAAATCTGTACCTATCTAACTGGAGGCAGTCTTTCTAATTTCAATTAATTTTATGATCCCTTAGAATTTTTTCTTCTGATAAGCAGAAGAAAAATCTGCTAGGATTTTTGTATCTTGAGAATTCAACATTTTCTGTCTTGATTGGAGTTATACAGTCACAGAACACTGCATGGAGTTTCAGTGCATAAAACCTCATATGGTTAATTTATGTGGTCAAAAGAAAGAATGTGCTCTTGTTTATAAAATGGAGACAGCTGCTTTAAAAATGAGCACTTAGAATGTGAAGGAGTTTAATAAACTCTTCTCAGAAGGAAGTAAACCCGTTCATTAATCTRAAAGGCTAACAAGTACATGCTGTGATAAGTAAAAACTAATTTCARCTTCCCGGGTGAGAAAGAGAAATCTGATTTTCCTGTGCAAGGCTCAGAAGTGTGGCYGTTGGCTACTATGGGTGTCTGAGCCCTGGAGATGGAGTTACCAGTTGCTCTAGATTTGTTTCATTAAGAGCAACATTCCCTGCAGGCTCAGGCATGATCAAGTTACAGCAATGGAATGCTTTATCAGGACTCAGCAAAGGAACATGAGTCTGTGTATGTTTTAATGTAACACAAATGCAGGAGGTTTTTTGCACTAGGAAACTGAGCTACCCCAGTAAAATATATCTAAGTTTACACATTTTTTTCTGTGGCATAGCTATTGTCAGACACTACAGCTCTGCTGACACAGACTCAAACACATATTTAGATTAAAACTGGATGTGTAAGTACTTATAGCCCACAACTGAATGCTCCATTCCTCTCCCAGGTCTGCCACTCTTGCAGTTGGAGAACTGTCTGCAGGCAAAGCAGGTTCTGTGCTGTAGTGTGCCCTCAGACCCATTAGGCAAACAAGGGTCAATCTGGAGTTTTCTTACTGCAATTTTCTTAGTGCTGTAATCTGCAGCAGGTCAGGGTCCAGATCCTGACCAAGGAAATCCCTGTTGCTATAAGGAAGGCAGACTTAAGAAGGAGCACAGAGCACTCTATTGCAAAGTCCATCCTCATTGTTTTGTCTGTTTTCATTAAGGATGAGCAGGCTTGATGCTGAAGGATAYTAATCCATTTTTTGAAACATGAATATCATGATTAGTAATCAGCTTTGGTTTTTAAGTAACKAGTGTTTTCCTATAACAGGTCTCAGTTCATGTTACCCCAGCTTTCATACCACCATTTCTTCTCCCAATTGGCGAAGTTGACATTACTTACACAGCAACTGATAAGTCAGGCAATGAGGCGAGCTGTACATTCAAAGTCAAAGTTATTGGTAAGTGCTGGTAAAAATCACTGGAGAAAAGGCTGTCTGGCATGGCTAAAACCTTCTAATTTGYGCAGAAAGTGAGTCACTGTGGCCTTTCTGTGTGCAGCTATGAGCCCAGGAGTATTGTCACCTCCATAAGTGTTTTGCTGATCCTGGGTCACAGTTTGCATATGTGCAGTTGCTGCTTGTAATGTTCMCTTCAGGGTATGTTTTATACTGCCATTCTTTCTGACTGTTAGGATTTCTGCTCACACTGGTTTATTAAATGCTTTATTGCATTGTCACTTATTGCCCTCATCATAAATCTCTCTTTAATTCTTGAAAGACTCCAGTGATACTTCTGAAGTTCACACACATTTCTGATGCAAATCATTGTTCAAGTATTTCTATCAGACAGTTGTGTTATTCAAGAATCCTGTAGGTAGTCCAGGGTTTGCTCTGTAGAAAGTAAACACTTCACAAACCATGGGTTCAGCAGAAGGATCACTCTTGTCTATTCAAATCACTCTTGTCTATTCACTCAGCATCTTCCAGTTGCAGCAACTTCCAAGTGTGGTCCTTTGTTGTATCTTCCAATACAAAGTTGTTTACGTGACTCCWTGTGGTTATAGATGTCATTTGAGTGTGGCAATAGTTCTGTAAGCTAATGTCATGCCATCCTTTCAAATGCTGCAGATGCAGAACCTCCTGTAGTTGACAGATGCAGATCTCCACCACCCATGCAAGCAGCTGAGARCAATTATCCAGCAACCTGGGAAGAACCAGAATTTTCAGACAATTCAGGTGAGATAGTATACCCCAAAACATACGTGCAACAGTGGCAGACTAGAAAACTCCACCTGTTCACCCTTGATCCCTTAGAGCATGAGATTTTTCTGAGGTTTCTTTTACTTATTTATTTTTAAGAGCACATAATCTTGAAGATTTGCTGCCATTTCCTTTTCCATTGGTCAAGGTTGGGTATGAGCGGCACTCTTATTTCCCAGTGATTTAACTTGTGTTTTAACCCTTCTAGGTGGTCCCCTGACTGTCACTAGGAGTCACRCACCCGGAGATCTCTTTCCCAAAGGAGAGACAACAGTGCAGTACACAGCAGTGGATCCTTCTGGCAATAACAGGACATGTGAGATCCACATTGTCATCAAAGGTGTGTTGTCTTCTTCTACTGGCCAAGAGCTTATGGCATTGTTTTAACTGAATGTCATAATAGATGCAAGCCTGCTCCATCTCTCAATTTAATTATCCCTATTTTATATTGGAGTAACTTGAAGGTAGTCAAAATATTTTTTAGTACCAACTAATAAATCRTCTAAGACCAATACAGCACAGCCGTGAATTTGGTTCTATAAATTCAAATTAGGTATAAAAGCATTGAAATTATGATTCATTAAGCAGTAAATCTTACAGAAATGGATATTTTGATTTTTTGCAGTGACAGATACCATGTGAAATGTATTAATAGGTGTTACTTCAATCTTTCTTCAAGTCTGTAGTTAAAAGGAATACTTCTGCTTATTGCCTGCAAATATTGCAGATAATAAAATACTCTTTAGATTGTGGAATATGCCTGTACTTACTGATGCATGGTCATTTTCTTCTTAAAAATCCAAACAACAATTTGGCAGCGAAAGTATTAAGAATGGAAAATCTACTCCATATCTGCTTTTTACTGTCTTAGTTGGACATCTGTATAAAAACGCCTGTTAGTGAAGAGAGAATTTAAAATAATGCAGTTAAAATTTTGGTTATAACTTTCAGGAAAGGGAAGTTGCAAATGGATCTGATTTGCTCTAAATCTTAGCAAGAACAAGTCAGTGCTTAGAACTGGCATTGTATCAAGCTCTGTATCACCTCAGACTTTTTGTGGTTCAGTGTTTGTGGCATAATATTTTCAGACTTTCACAACCTCTTTCACAGTCAGCCTTAAAAATGWATCATAACTGAGGTTATAAGGTTATCCTAAGATTATTCTGATAACTTCATATGTTGTTGCACGTGGGTAATGTTTCAGAATTCAAGATGTAATATAGTTTACTACAATTCCATGTATAACATTCACGTGAAAATTTAGACTGATATTTTACGTTATTTTAGTAGATAGTTTCAAATATGTATAACTTTTTTTAAAGCCTTCATGTTTCCGGTTTTCAAATTGCAGTAGCAGGATYTGAGAAATATTTAGCAGTAGCCTGGTCCTGACTTTATGGAAGTAACAAATAATACTTTCACAAACTTCAGCAGRGGCAAGATAGATTAAGTCAATATTAGGTACCTTTGAAAATCCTATGAGCGCTGTTTTCCTGCAGTATCACTTATTTCTYCACATTGATCAATATATAAATCTTTGTATTTTTCATAGGTTCTCCCTGTGAGGTTTCCTTTCAGCCTGAGAATGGTGATTTTATATGCACATCAGATGAAGCAGGAGTTAACTGCACCTTGCACTGTGCAGAGGGCTACAGCTTTGCAGAAGGATCGAGTGAAAACTACTACTGTGCTTTTGAAGATGGTCTCTGGAAGCCACCATATTCTCCAGAGTGGCCTAGCTGCTCTTGTAAGCCCCACGGTTACTGAGATGAATCTGCAACTTATATATAAATACTACATTTAATGAGAGAGCAAATGAAAATATTTTAGTGATTCTGATTTCTATTTATTCGTAACAAATATTCTCTCTGCCTCTGAGTTGTTATAAATATTGTGAAATAATGCTTGGAAATCTGTAAATACGTTGCTTCAGAACCTATCTAAACCACAAAAATAGCAGTGATTTTGAATCCCAGGAATCACAAAATAACAAAGATGGCAAAGTAACAGGTTCATTGAAACTGTTTGTTAACAAACACTTTCAAAAAAAGTGTCTTTTTAATAAGAATGCAACAATATTTGCAGCTTACAGATTGAAATGCACAGTATGTGCTGTATTTACATATCAAATTACCACCAGATTAGAAAAGGTCTTATGTTTTCTTTGAGAAGAACTCATACAAAGCTTCAGCTGTGGAATTTTCCACCTTTGGTGATATTTTTATAATATATGTATTGGAACTATGTTTGAAGCCAGTCTTGCTACCATGTTGCATCCACTTCTATCACAGTCAWTTTTTTGGTTTCCGTAATAAAAAGATCAGTGTTTTAACTATGAACAAACAAAAAGAAGTTATGTTTCAGAGCTATCAATTCAAAATCCATAACTTGTACCCTTAGGAACTTTGCTTAATTTCTGCATAAGATTTTTTATATTTAGTCTAGCAGCATTAGTAATAAGACTTGTATATTCATTGCTCTTCTCTCAGTAGAAAGTTAGCATGGAATTTAGTTGACAGCTCATGGGTTTCTTCCATTAAGAAAATGCTGAAATAGATGTATGACCTGGTTTTTAATGTCTTTTAACTTTTCCAGTAAATTTAGTGCCTGCCAAAGGGTCGTATCATTGGATGAGATATGAGTGAACCATTTAGACTACTGATTTAAAGACTGTGCTTCTTACCTTCTTGTATTCCAGTTTTAACCTGAATTTTCTGGATTTTAGTTCCAAAACTCTTGCACTGATCAACAAAAATTTATTTCTCCAACATTTTTCAGTAAATCGTTTTGCAAACCATGGATTCAAATCCTTTGAGATGCTCTACAAAGCGACACGATGTGATGACAACAATCTTCTAAACAGCTTTACTGATGCATTCCAGAGTGCACTTGGTAAAATGGTAGGTTAGTAAATACTCCTTCCCTTTACGTACTTCTTTTTCCAGGTAATTAATTTTGCACAAGGAAATCAACAGCAGATTCACATAAGTGAAATCTGTTGTTCAGAAGGTGGAAAGTTATTTTTAAAAATAAAGATGATCCACTGACCTTGTATTGTAATTCAGTTTAGTCTTCAATGTGGATTTGTGTGGGACAGAATTTATGCAAGTGTCCAAGCAGTTTAGGAAGCTGCAGCTCATAAATTTTCAGCTGGCCTCCAAAGAGGAGCTGTGTGGTTGTGAAAACCCCAGTCAATTTTCCCCACAGYGCTGTTTCTGAAAGTTGGATGTGAACATAAAATAAATGCATTTTTAAGGAACATGTATAAAATTTAATCAAATATTACGAATGAACATATATGTGTATCTATGGATACATTCACACTTGGTGTATACATCAAGGAACTTAAATCCAGCAGTAGTGATCAGCTCAGGATTCTTGAGTTTCTGACTTCTCACTGTAGCGTTAGGAACTACATGGGACTGAGTCTTTCTTCTCTGCCTTTTTTCTCTTTTCATAACCTCCCCTCTCAACCCCCAAATCTCTCCTCAGCTAAAGAGTAGAAACAGCAGAATGCTGAGTTCTGATCTCAAGAGCTGGTGTTCATGCCTAGTGTGATAGCATTGTTCCAGCAGAGAATTCTGGGCATCTCTGATTTTTTTTGCAGAACATGGCCCATATGCTACTAAAAGTTCTCTACTGACTAAAAATCATTGTTAGCACATACAGATAATGGGCAAATTCATGCAATTTTGGAACATATGTTAGTAGCCCTTGTCAAATGGCTGAAAACTTTGGTGACATGTCAGGCAATAAGTGTCTCTTCCTTTCTTGCCTTGGTTCAGGTGTGGTTTTTCCAGTTGAGAAATCTTGACTGCTTTTATTTCTTTTTCYTTCCCTGGTACACCAGGTTCCAGTGTTTGGACCTTTGCTATTGGCAAGTAAAAGATAATAAGGAAAAAAATGAGTAATGACCTTTTCAAACTATTACATCAAAATGCAGCAGTCTGGGAAAGCATTCRAAAAGGCTGTTTTGGATATGCTTATTCATATTCCCAAGAATTTGAAACTCTACCAGTGGGAATGAATGGCAGGAGCATCTTTCCAACAAAAGTTTATATGGAAAAACAAAACAATTTCAAAACATGTCCTAGGGTTCAACTTGCTTGAAACCTTTCTGGAAAAAGCAAAAAATGCACACATATAAAAAATTATGCATTCCTCTRTTCTTATGTAATCAATCTCCACTACTTCTATTGAGGGAAAAAATAAGCTGTACCAGAAAAGTTTCTGATGAGTTTTCTATTAYGTTATTTCTGTTGTCCTAAGCTGTTTTTCCCTCTCCTCTGAGATCTTGTGATGCATAAGTCCTTTGCCATGGGTATGGAGAGGTGAATATGAAGAAGTAAGGTTTCAAAGCTAGAAAACAGTGACAGCATGGATGTAAACCTGACAGAATTACAAGTAACATAGCTGGAAAAAGCACAGGTGCTTTATAAATATGAGGTCTCCAGTCATCTTCTGCAGGGAGATGGAAGTCTGAATTTATTTCTGTTCTGGATTTCACATGCAAGAGTGATTAGCTGTCAAAGTAATGAATTGACATCTCTTAAAAACAAAAAAATCTATCTTCTATAACAAAGAGATTGTACACCTGCAAGTTGCTCTCTTATTTCATGGCTGTATCAATAAAAAATACTTCTTTTAGCAGGCCTTGCTAGGGCTGTAGGAGACATGAAAGGGGAAATCTATTATCACTGGCAGAACCAGTGCTTTACATTGTAATTAGAATTTTTTATATGTCAGGGGAGAGGGCCATATGGTTTTTTGTCATTAATGTTTTTCTTCTTTATGTTGAAAGGTCCCATCATTCTGTAATGATGTCGATGATATTGACTGCAGATTGGAAGATCAGACCCAGAAACAGTGCTTGGAGTATAATTACGATTACGAAAATGGATTTGCCATTGGTAATTACTGATCCCATAGATTCATAGCCATCCT